CCCTGTTTTGTGCTGAGGGGAGGCGAGATGTTACAGTGGGCGGGCGTACTCGCATTTTTCCTTAAAGGTTAAGAAAATAATTTCTGGGCACCTCAACACGGAAGTATTAGGTCAGGTTGGGGCATCGTTCTGCTGCTGCCCCTGCGGCTTTGGCCGCAATACTCGAAGCAGTGGCTGCTTTCAGCACATTTTTAACTCGGGTTCTGCTTCTGCTCTCGAGACACGGTCCCAGTTCTGTGAGGAGCAGGGCGCCCTCACCCTGAGCGCTTTCTCTTTGGCCATCCCTTGCAGCTCTCGGTCCATCTCCTGCAGTTCACGTTTTGGAGCACAGAACAGTGTCTTTTCAGTGGTTGTACAGCAACAATAAGACCCTTCCCCAGTTACTTTAAACATCATGGAATCAAAATAATTACTGTATTGCATGGTTCCCGTGTAACCTTTTAAAATATGCTGGCTTCTTTTTTTAACACAGAATTTCCTCTTTGTTTTCTTTGTAGCACGATCACGCACTGTAGGAGAACTCTTAGCCCCAACTTCTCCTTTTGACAAGAAGTGTGGACGTGAAAACTGGACGGTTGCGTTTGCTCCCGATGGATCTTACTTTGCTTGGTCACAAGGGCATCGCATAGTGAAGCTGGTCCCCTGGTCTCAGTGCCTTAATAATTTGTAAGACAAAATCACGTGGCTTTTAATTCACTGAATAATTTCAAAATAGGAGATAGCTTTCACTAGATCAAAACTCAAGTGTTGGCTTTCTAGGCTTTTGTGACTTTGGGAAAAACTGATTCTTTAAAGTAGCAGCTCTCATTTTCTCTCTTCCTTCATGGCCAGCAAGGGAAACAAATGTACTGCAACCTCACAAAGGCTATGGAGGAATGATATATTGATTGATTCAGATGCTCTAGAACAAAAGGAAGTTTGAATCAAAAAGAAACTTAAAGACTCAGGCAGATCTGGACTTTTTCTATCACAAGGCTATTTGTTTTTACCTTTTAGGAATTTACTTAAAGGCAAACCTCTTCCTTATCACTCTTATTAGAATGCAGGCTAAGTTCCAGAAGACATATTTTATTTTCAAGTTGCATTTAAATGAAGTCGGTAGCCAGCAGTTGCATTACATCTTAAAGACCTTTTTGTTCTATTTATTTTCTATTTTATTTTTCAAGGTACTTCATGCAAATTCTTTTGTGTGTGCGTTTTTCATTTGCTTTGCAGCTTGGTGCACGGCACAAAGAATGGTGCAAACTCTGCCAATACAAGACTTCCGAGGCAGAACAGTGACAGCGGTCAGAAAAACAAGCCCTGTGAACACATCATAGACTGCGGCGACATCGTCTGGAGCCTTGCTTTTGGCTCTTCAGTGCCTGAGAAGCAGAGCCGCTGCGTGAACATAGAATGGCACCGCTTCAAATTCGGGCAAGACCAGCTCCTGCTTGCGACAGGCTTGAACAACGGGCGCATCAAGATATGGGATGTTTATACAGGTAGGGTGTGAGAGAGGGGTTTGGCACTTCAGGCAGGAATAACGTCACCGGTGCACAGAGTGAATTCATAATGGCGAAGCTGAACCACAAATATAAATTAAGTAATTAAAAAAAGAAAAAAGAAAAAGCAGAAACTACTGCAACTAGAAATGTTCAGCTACTGCTAGAGGAAGAAAAAGACTCAAGTCACACCTGGAGATGAAAGCTTATCAAATGATAAGAGACTGAACCTGAAATTAGGGAGTCTCAGTTGAGGTGGTAGCACAGTCGCTAGGTTGGGCGAGAATTTCCTCAACTTCAAAAGCAACTGCTGGGTAATTTGTTGTTGTATGTTTAAGCTAAGAACAGCGTTTAAGTTAAGTTAAGAACAGAGCTGTCTGTCAAAAGACAAGACTTATTTCTGGGGCACGTGGTTTTAGTGTATAGATTTACTGGCTTTTCAGGAAATTGGCTCTCACACTCCAAAAGGATGCATGTGCTTCTTAGCGTAGGGAGCATTTCTACAAAGAAAATTTAGCTTTACATGCTGTCATTTGGTATTCTGTGTTTGTAACCATAAAGCATTCGATCTGAATAAAAGTAGAGTCCTTTATTTTAAATTGTGGTGTTTCCGTGTAACAGGAAAACTCCTCCTTAACCTGATGGACCATACAGAAGTTGTTCGAGATTTAACCTTTGCCCCAGATGGCAGCCTGATTTTAGTGTCTGCATCCAGAGACAAAACACTGCGCGTGTGGGACCTGAAGGATGATGGTACGCATTTTAAGTTGCTCTGCTGTGACACGTAGGAGAGATATCCACATAGCCTCCTCTTTTATTGCTATAAACTCAATTAGGTCAGGATTTTGTAAAAAAATAATTTTGTTAAATTAATTAGTTGCTCTCTTGAAATTCCTTATCTATACGTACCTTAAAGCTGGTATTGGATTAAGTCAAAAGAGTGTGTGAGGTGACCTTTTGCAATAGGAACACAGGATTTGGAAGCTGCACAACAGAATTTTTATTTCTGTGTAGAATGATTCTGGAAGTTTCTCTTTGGGAGAGCGGCGTAGCATTCTATAAAGGAAGAGCTAATTCAGAAAAGCTTTACAATTTGAATTTGTAATACTTAACCCTTACATGAATGTCTTGTCTTTCTAGGAAATATGATGAAAGTGTTGAGAGGACACCAGAACTGGGTGTACGGTTGTGCGTTCTCTCCGGACTCTACTGTTCTCTGCTCGGTTGGAGCTAGTAAAGCAGTATGTGTCAGAGTTTCTTGTTCTCTAAATCTACTGAATTGTGTGCTTAATCATTTTAAATCTGAGTAACATGAAGCTTGTGCTCGGTGTCATGAACTTGTAATGTTTTTGTGATGATGTAGAAGCGCATGAAATTAAACTAGCAAGTGGTGCATTGAGACACTGATTCATGAATTGAACTTGCACTGCTTTTAGTTAAAGGAACTGTAAGCATTCTTTCAGAAATAGTTCCACACCTCTGCACGTGTTCATAGCATAAAACCAAAGATGACTAAAACTCCAAATGTTAGAAGATTCTTAGATTAACGCATAAGACTATGCTGTTATTGATTTTATCCTTTCTATTTCCTGCTCAGTGAAAAGGACTTTTCAAAGTCTGAGCCAGTCATGGTATTTC